GCTAGAATCTCCTGCAACGATGCCGATGGCGATGCACCATGACTAGATGCACCTTCATTCACGGATTGGGGGGAAGCCGCACCCGTGAAAGGTACATCAAGTCGAGGAGGATCGACTACCACCTGATCCCGATGGACAGATGGTGATCTAGATGATCCGATCCCACGTCCTCGGGATCGTACCCCGCTACCACTACGACCACTAGAATGGGAGTGACTCATCTACAAATTACATATAACAAAACAAAATCAAGAAAACCCGTGAACTAGCAGTAAACCCTAACCCTAAACCCTAAATACTAAAAAAGTTATCTGAAACCCTAAATAAACCCTAAATTCTAGCGACGTGTTTTTAAACCCTAAATAAACCCTAAACCCTAAACATAACCCTAAACCGTAAAAGTAACCATAAACCCTAAATAAACTCTAAACCCTAAATAAACCCTAAACCCTAAAACATAACCTAAAATCCTAAATTCACCCTAAACCCTAAAATAAACCCTAAACCCTAAACATAACCCTAAACCCTAAAAGTAACCCTAAATGAACCCTAAAATCTACAACTAACCCTAAACCCTAAACATAACCCTAAACCCTAAAATAAAACCAACTAACCCTAAACCCTAAACATAACCCTAAACCCTAAATAAACCCTAAAATCTAAATTTATTTTTAAACCCTAAATAAACCCTAAACCCTAAACATAACCCTAAACCCTAAATATAATATTAACACTTAGAATCGACACAAAAAACACTGTAAAATCGAAAGAATCGATCCATAACCTCGGTGTCGGCGGGGGACGGCGGCGCGGTGACGCTGCGGTGTCGGTGGGAGACGGCGGAGCAGTGGTGCGGCAGTTTCGGTGGGAATCGAACCACGAATCTGTTGAAATTCGATTCGAAAGAATCGAACCATGAACCTAAACCCTAAACCGTTCGGAAATGGGAATAAGAGGGGAGTCATGAGTAGGGAAACTTACCTGTCGGGCGGCGGGGGACGGCGGCGAAGCGAACGCGGCGGGCGGCGGGGGACGGCGGCGAAGAAAAAATGGAAAGTTTTTTTTGCTAAGTGTCGGAGGAAGAAGACGATTCGCGATGTTTTCAAGAACATTGCGACCGATTTATTCTGTCGCAATCTGTCGCTGTGTCATTAAAGTGGGAGACACGTGGACATTGCGACCGATTTATTCTGTCGCCATCCGTCGCAACGAAAAAAAAACGGGAAACGCAGATGCCGACATTTTGCGACAATGTTGCGACAGATAATTCGGTCGCAACATAATGTAATAATTAAAAAAAATAAAATGAAAAAAAATTACGATAACTAATATTTTGATTTGGAGTACAATATTTGTAATACAAATTGGTATTTCATACATAAAAAAAAATATATTATTAATCAAAAGAACCATATTCAGAAGTTCCTGTTGTTTTTTCGTCCGACTCATCGGTATTATCCTGCTCTTCGTCATTATTGTCTGCAAGTTCTTCAACTACTCCTTCTTCGGCTATTAACTTTCCAACCTCAATCGTGTCTTCAATTTGAAGAATGCCTTGATCGACATCTTGAAGCGGGATTTGTTCATCATTTTCTTCTTGAATAATAGTTCCCCTGGGGTTGATCTTCACGACGGCTCGCCAATCAATGTCTGACCTTCTTGTAATTTTCTTCGGATAAGGGATGTAACACACTTGATCTGCTTGAGAAGCCAATATAAAAGGATCATATTTTCCGTATCGACGTGTGTAACATATGTCAAAAACACCTGTTTTGTTGACTCTGATCCCTCGCATGGGTGTAGGATCAAACCAATCACACCTGAACATCATCACTTTGAGTCCAAAATGACCTGCATATTGGAGTTCAAAAATCTGCTGCAGTAGTCCGTAAAAATCGGGTTCGTTATCAGATGCACAGTACTCTGACCCTTTCACAGAAACACCAAAATTATGTGTCGAACGATGTTGTCCGTGTTCATGTGTGTGGAAAACGTAGCCTCTGGTAAAAAATATAGGCCAACATGTAACACGACAAATGGGCCCTTGAACTAGCTCATGCAACCACAATGGATGATCTTCTGGTGACGTTCGAATCTGCAAAACAAAGAAAAAATAGGTTGTTTAAATATCAATATATACTTGATCGATCTTAAAAATGGGTATAAAAAAGAAATTTGATGAAAAATTCTTACATATTCTTTTAACCACGTAGCAAACCCTTTTTCTTTAATTTTGGTCAATTCCTCGTCATTTACGTCACCATACATGTTGTATACTTGTTCATCAAAAATCCTGCAAAATAAAATGAAAAAAACTTGTAAATGAATTAATATCAAAAAATTGTACGCCATAAATAATTAAATGTATAAACGAACCTTTCAAAAGGTAGTACTTCTTCGCAATTCAACAATACAAAAGTATGTACCACATGATAGTCTTTTTCAGATAAGTAGGCATCGCTGGCCTTACCACCACATCTTCCTTTTCTGTCAAATATATGGGGAATATTTGCATTCGTCGGATAACTAGGGCCATC